CATATTAATCATCATATGATTGACAGATTTGGAGAGATTTACTTTTAAACTTATGATTGATTTAATTTTGAAATTTTTTACAAATTATGATTGTATTTTAAAGTTTTGTAAACCAGTTCTCTATTGATTTGTTACTTTATATAACAAAAACTATGTATTGTTTTGCTATCAAAAGTGATCTGGACATTCATAAATTTGAATTAGCCAATTTGAATTCAAAGGCACAATCCTATGCTTTTGTCAAAGGCAATTTTTTGTTGCCTTTGCCTTTTTTGTGTCATTGGAAAGGCATGACTTTGCTCGATCAAAGGCAAAATCAAAGCAAAGGCAATTTTGTATCAACACTGGTTTTCAGTCATTAGGGGGAAGCTAGAGGGGAGAGGGGGATAGAGTTAGTATAGTTTAATAGTAAATTCTATTTGATAGACATCATTTGTGATTGTTCTTTTACTTTTAAGAGGAAGGAAGTCCTCAAAACGTTTTAACAATTTTAAGACTTTAGAGTCGTTCACTTATTAAGTATGTTTTTTTAAAGAGGAGGAGGCTTAGCGAAGACCTTAAGTATTTAAACTTTGGTGCTAAACCATAATATTCTGAAAATCATTAAATCATGAATCATTTGCTTGCCATTTTTGATTTTGTCTCAATAAAAATATTTCCAAATTCTTATAATAAATATGCCATTTCAACTTGATGGAGGTTTGTCGTTTTCTCCCAAACACATCGCTCTAAACTTTTCATAAAAGCAACAACAAAAAAAGTTGGAAAAACTTTCAATTCAAATGTTGAGATCATAAATTAAAATTTAAAATTTGTTTTGGCGTCATTACGCTGAAAATTGAAACTTTTTCATTCGCTAGAGAAAACAATAAATAAAATCTGAAAAATTCTCATTTCTAATTTCCTTAATTCACATTGAAAGAATTGAAAGAAAAAACAGAGAAATTGCAGCACACTGTTTCTTTATATCCGGAATGTTATTTTTTTTTAAAAAAAGAAACTATGAAAAAAAAATTGAATCGGATGAAATTCTTTAGTAGTCGGTTGGCATAAAACTTCCTGGTACCGGAAAAATAACTTTTTGCATTATTCAGCATTAATTCTCGTTTTTCTATTTATTTGAACAAAAATATGCAGCCTCAGTGAGAAATCAGAATTAAATTCAACGTTATTAATTAATTATAAAACTAAGACTGCTTCTTATAATTTTTTATATCCTCATTTTCAAACTTTATTGTTTATGTTTAAGCTTTTTTTCTTATTATTTAAACAGGAAGAATTTTTATGCTTGGGGGCACAGTCATAGGATAATAAATAAGTAAAAAAACTTTTCTGCTGAAACGAAAGAAAGGAAGAAGAAAAAAAAAGCTGCGAAAGATGAACAACAATGAGGAAATTATTATAATGAAATAAAATTTTCATTATTTACTATCATTGTATGTACTGCAGTTGTAAGATTTCTTGATTCCATAAATAGAGGAATTTCTTATGCTGAAAATTGTTTTATAAAAGTTGCATTGACTCTTTTGCCCTTCGGACTACAATGGTGAAGATTTTATTATCGACGTTCTTTCTCTTGTTATGAATAAAAAAATAACGGCACTGCATTTAAGGATGAAATATAATTGCCGTCCTTTAAACATGAAAATGATTAACTTTAAGAAATTTTAACTCTTTAGTCTTTCTTTCATTTTGCTCAAATTTTCAAGATGGCGGAATCCAAAATGGGCATTTGTCATCCCCTAAAGCTAGTTCCATCGCTGGCTCCCGTCTGCCAATTGCCAACTCCAAATGCAACACTGTCTCTATCTACAGTTTTTTTCGATGGCATGATAATAGCTTCAATTTAAATCCAGCACCATGCCAGAGTCACACGCTAAATTAAGCTTAGAAAATATGTATATCTTTACCATCTTTTTGCCATCTTACCATTAAATATTTATGTAAATATTTATTTTAAGATTACCAGTGCTTCAGTTAATTAAGAAGCTTTGTTGTCAATAATTTTACAATTTGGAGCATGTCCAATTCTTTTTGACATTCTTAAAACAAAGCTTAAGAATTTTGAAATAAAGTAAAAATTTAAATTTGGTCTGATCTCAATTAATATTAAAAGGCACAAACAGTTTTGCTCGTACAGCACTTGATGAGGTTTGATATTTCATCTCTACAAATACAAACGCTTTATCGACAGCATGACAAATTAAATTGATTTGAAAATCAACTGATTATTCATTCAAAAATAAAATCAAACAATCGAGTCTCTACCATTAGCTATGAATACAATTTTAAGCGGATTTAAAAGTAAATTTTTGAGTTTTTTTATGCTCATTGTTTCTATAAATCCTTTGTAATAGCAAAACTATTGTACGATGTACTCTATTTGTAAACAACCCCAAATAGTTTTAGGGGAATTTACGATGAAATGTCAAAAAAACCGAACATCCAATAACTTCCGTAGCTAAATAAAATTGCATCTGAAAATTTGAATGCACTAATAGTTATTGGCATCGTTACTATTTTTAACATCCTATACACAACGCAATGTTAAAAGCCTTTTTTATGGTTTTATTTATCATCGCTTTACGTGCGTATCAGCGAGACGAGAAATTAAATCAAAATACTCGAGCCAGAAAATATTTCATCAGCCAAAGAGCTTTTTTATTGAATACTCAAAAACGTAATAATAGTCATGGCTCATGAGTTTCGGTCAACTCTCAGTCTCTTGAGGGATGAAAAAATTAAAAATCCATAAAATGAAATTAAAAGACAACAATCGGTGCTGCACAAAAAATTTTTTGTTTTATATTCAATGTTATTATTAGCCGAAAGCCTTTCAATTGTTATGCACAACATCGTTTGGTGTACGATAAAAGGTAGTTCTCAAACTATGATAAAATGAAATTAAAATCACGTTACCGACGTAGGATACAGCATTTTCGGAAAATAAAAAAAAAAGAGTTAAAAGGATTTTTAGGATGAGCATGAAACTCAAATTATACGATAAACGGGCAGTGAAACTGCATCGAAATTGAATGAGTGGAGTTGGATGTCCAAAAACTTTTTCATCATCCTAAAATTTCTTTAAAGCACAATCCAGACAAATTATGTCAAGTTTAAATGTTAGACAGCACTTAATGTTACACTTTCTTTATTTTTAGAAACCGTCACAAAAATTTTTTTTATTATAATATCATTCAGATATCAAATTTCACGCTATGTTGATGCTCATTATTGCAGCAATATCACATTTTTCGGGCTATTTAGGATGGTTTACGACTCTCATAGTATCCTCGACAATCTTTTCTACATCATTTTATTATAAAAGCTTTTTGTGTTCATTCAATAAATTTACCATTTTTCTCGTCTCGTTTACTTCACCATGCAAATTTTTTGTTCCTTTACTTTTTATGTACAGAGAGGAATATTTTATTTACAGACACAAAAAAAAAAGTTTTTATTTTTTTGTATCCTCATGCAAGTTGTAAATATGAAAAGTTGATTTTTTTGCCTCAATTATTCTCATTAAAAATCACCGAACTATGAATTTTCAATTAAAAATTCATGTTTTGTGCTGCATAGAGGCAACTTTGTCTTGGCTTTATATTTGGATGGCTGCAGAAAGAAGGGAAATTATTGTATAGAAAGTTTCTTTATTTAGACGTTATGCTATGGAGAAAGGCTATTCTCTAATAATGCCTATATGTGAAAGTTTATGCTTGACCAGCCCGAGAAAAAAACACAGCTGTGGGAATTTTTCGGGTATTCTCGGGAAGAAGTGCTATTTTTGAGAAATCAGAAATGAGGACGAGCATGTTTCAATTTAAGCTACATGGCACAGAACAGTGATGAAAGAACGTGCTTAATTTGCGGGCAGACAAATTGTACAAACTAGGTGACAGAGATAGCAACAGAGTCAGATGGAAAGCCTTTTATTGTAACCTAAGTTCCACATAGGAGAATGGTTACAGTAAGTAAGTAAATGTTTAATTTTATAAATAGTTGACAAACCCGTCCCTATTTATTAAACCCGTCAATTATAAGCAAAAGAATTAACATCTCATTAAGTGTGTTAAAAAGGGTTTCCAAAAGCTTATATTGACCACCCCCCCCCCCCCCACCTTTTCTCGAAAAAATATCTGATTACGCCCTAGACAAAAAGATTTGTTGAATAACAGGGTTTAGTATCTAGAGTTCTCCTAGAGCACCTGACACCTAGGGAGTTCTAGGAACCATCGCTCATGATCATTCTTGACAAATCCACATTTGATATTAAATCACAAACTAAATGATGCGGTAGTCTAAAATGATACAGAACTGATCATAATAATCACAAGCAAGTTGATCATTGCCACGTTTCATGGTCGTTGTTCTTATAGCTAAATTGGAAATATCAAGTCTATATAAATGTCATGTAGAATCCTTTGATTTCCTGGGCCTGAAATTTGTTCATTTTTATCAGCCAGACAGAGATGCTGCATATCAGTCATCCTATTACTGTTGTCTTAAAATTAATAAAATATTAAAAATTTCAAATATATACTAAACCTATACCAAAGGTTTTTCAATGTGTGGCTCGGGCACATCTAATAAAGACATTATTCATAACATACAAGCACACGATATATGCAAAATATGTGAAATCAACCCTTAATTCTTTTATATTCAATGGTGCATAAAAACGAAATCATATAAGTTACCAAATAAACATCAACGTTCCTAGTTATAAAAATAAGCAGTAGCCATAAATTTCTTTATAAATTCCTATAGTTTCGTTGCTATTGTATCGTACCAATACTTTTAAACAAATCAGCTGATTAAATATCAACAAGTTGAGTAACTTGGAGAAGTAAATTGTTGATACGATGTCATGGATACTCGGAAAATTATTGTTTTGGTTTCATAAACAATAATTTTCCGGCTTCAGAAATTTTAATCATATCAAGCATATATTTTTGGATATATTTATTTTAATTAATATGAGAAGTTTATAATTAAAAATGAAAAAGTTGAGAAAAATCAAAAAAGATCATCGACGACCAATTGAGGATGTTCCATTCTACAAAATTAAACATGGAATTGATGATTTACCACTTGATCCATTCAGAGAATTTTTGAATGAGGAAATAAGTAAGAATTAATATATTTTACAGTAGATTTGTTGAATTAAGTTCAAAAGCTTTAAGCTATCATTTTCAAATGTAAGCAAACAAGTCCATAAGTCAATATTTAACCAACAAATATTCTCTCTAAATTTCATTTTACCAGACAAAATCAAACAATCGAAATCTGAAGAATTCATTCATGATTTTGATTTGTATATTGCACCCAAAGGCGATGGACTATTGAGCACAGCAGTCGGTTTTCAACTCCCAAATATTTTTCAAGAAGCCTTTCCAAATTATATTCGAAAAGACTTTCCAGATGCATTGACATCGACACAAAAGCGTAGCTATGAAGTTACAAAAAATCTCATTTCGATTTACAAAAACAAGCGGATGCAAATTTTTCATAATATCATCAAAACAAGGAAGTCTCTGTGCACAAAAGAATTTTTTCGTATTTATTTGAGTCCAACTGATGCTACTGTTAATAAAAAGTCTTTACATGCTCGAAAATATAAAACAAAATTTCATAAAAGCTTCGAAAAACAAAAGCCTTTGAATTATCAAATGGAATATGAGAGATTACGAGGACTACGAGAATCGGAAGAAGAACTTGCCAAAGTACAAGCATATATTGACAAGATGATTGCGAGAAACATGAAGAAAATGGAGGATGAGAAGAAAAGACGTCAGATGGCACAGAAACCCAAAGAGTGTCATTATTCGACCTTACAGGAATTGGTAAATTTTTATTGACAATCAAGACAAGTTGAGAATGGAACTTGTGTAGATCTAAGGATGAACTAGGGCGCTTATTCTGGCAATTTGTTTTAAAACCTCTCTTTGACTTTAGCAATTTAACTTATATATATATATAATGTGTGAAGGGCCCAGCCTTTCAGCTGGAGGCACTGCGATTCAAATTAGAACAGAATCTATTGTACCACACCCTTTAGACCTACAGTTTATAGTGGGATCCGAACCACTTGCAAGCTCTGTACATTGCAAAGACACGAGTACGTCATAAGACCTGATGTACCCTGCAATGTACCTAGTCACAATCCGTGTGCGCAAGATGCCGTAAGGAAGTCATCCAGATGCTAGTATATCCTTGTATACCTAGCAAAGGAGGCATATTCTGTGCCAAAGACATCAATACTACACCCAACACACGAACCGAGCTTCGCAACTAGAACGGTGAAATGGAAAAAGAGCTTCGAAAATTAGACATGGCCTGGGATTGAACCCAGGACCTTTGGCACGTAAGGCCAACGCTCTACCATTTAGGTCACTGATGCCATTTCACCGATCACCAATTTAACTTAATGTCAGACATTCTTTTGTTCAGCCATGCTCGTCTGTCAAGCTGAGCAAAAAGACAAACTGACAGACCATACGTAAAGCCAATGAATCTCACAAGAAAAAATTCACGAAGATTATTCCAACAAATTTTTCCCACTCTCAATCTGTATTCTTCCTCTTTTATCACTTCCTTTATCCGCAATCTCATTTTTTATATTCCTCACAATTTAGTCGAATCAGCCACGTTCAACGGAGCAAGCACCAAAAAAACGTAAGAAAGTTATAAGTAATGAGGAATTCTTGAAACGTTTAAAGGCGAAGGATCGTGAACAATCAAAATATTTACAAGCCCTTCTACCCACACATCCAGATGAGCAGAAAATAAAAATTGTGCAAGATTATGTCGAACGAAACAACGAGGCATCAATCCTATTTGACAATAATATGCGTCAACGCTTATTGAACGTTTTCGATTTGATATCTGTGAACTTAATTGAAACATATCCGTCAAAATATTTCAAAAAAATCATCGAACGCATTGATGATCGTAATCCGTTGTGGAAGCACATTCATAAATTTATAGTGAATGAAGAAAAGTTATGGCCTGAAATAAAATTGGAAGTAATGTTGATGGATTTTCTTTATAATCCCGAGAATAAAATTCGCCGTGAAGTTGCTGTTATGATAATATGTCTGCTGATGGATTTACAAGAGGATTTTCGCTACAGTATGAAGCGTAGTTTTATGCGTTGCATTTTACAATCCGTTACAGAACGGAAACGTTTACAGCTTGAATTGGAACCACCTGAATTTCCTATTGTAACGATTAAAGCACCCGTTCCATGGAAGTGCACAGTTCAAGTGGCAAAAAATCGCTTAGAAGAAGTGTTGATGGTGAATCATCCCTTACTGCAGGCAATACAAATGCTATGGTACAATTTATATCACGACTTGCTCATTGTGGATACTGCCAAGTTTTATAAATGTGAAATCCCATATCATGCGGAAAACATTACTGAGATTATCAACAGCTGTTGCAAAATAACTAGAGATGTAAGTGAGACTATTTCTAGATGACACTGAAAAATAGAAGCTAAGTATATGAGGAATAGAGGTTAGGTGATTATGACTATGACGGCAAAAAAGATACATGTGTGCTGTCATCATTCTCTCCTTCTCACTCTCTTACTGCAGTGGGAAAATTATTAGAAAAAATGCAAATTATGCAAAACTTTAAATTGAATTCTTGACCTAGGGGTTGAATGACTGCAATGAAGGATGTTTGCTGAATTCCCAGTTTTATTTTGCATAATTTTTTGTTAAATTACAAGTTTACTCAATCTTGGAATCTTGTTTCAGAAAATTTCTATTAACTTTTCTGTCATAAATTTCTTGGAACAAACTTCATAGTCTTAAGTTTTCTTGAATCTCCCTTGAGGACGATTTTCTGAGAAGCTTAATCTCTTAAAAATAAACTTTTACTTGTTTCAAATTAAAGTGATGTCGTCAAGCATTATGCAGTTAACTGCAACATTAAATTTGTTTCTGGTGGGAATTGAACCATGAATGTGGGTTAAGGATAAGCTTAAAGATATCCCGTTTGTTACCTAAGCTTGAAATTAACTTTATTTGAATTATTTATTAAAGTAGATTTTTGATATAAAGTTCGAGTACACAGCCAGAATTGACATCTAATGACTTAATAACCCTGAATTTACTTAACCATAGCTACATATCCTTTTCATTTCTTCTGACAGATATTAGTGAACGACTGGATGCCAAGAATTGCTGACTTGGTCGAAGCAATGCGAGATTATTGGCGTGATTTAGTTCCAATGAACTCTCCGCATGGTGGACGTGCACAGATTTTATTCAACTGTATTCATGCCTTATTGTCATTGCATCTACAAGGACTGATAAAACGAAGCCTTGATCATTTAGCTGAAACAATTGAAGTCTATAAGGATGGCAATTTATTGCACGTTTACAATCCTAAAAGTAGAAAATTAAAGAGACGGCCTTTTATGACTCTTATTGTATCGGTAGTTGGAAAGCATGAAGAGGAATGTGACGAAACATCCGAAAAAGATTCTGCTTTATATCAAATTGAAGAAGACGATCCAAATATTCTCTCGATGGAACTAAAATCCGAAAAGCCGATTATGGAAGAACGGTCTGCATCATTTATCATGAACAACAGTGGTAAAATGATTATTGAACCATATATGGAGGAATTGCCGGATTTGTTCAAAAGCTATTTTGTGAAAATCCTAAAAGTCGGTTACAAAATTCCTCGGCTTGAATTTTATATGACACAACGAAAGGACTTGCTGGGCTACTTACACTACATTCATGAAGATCACGTTGACATGATAAAGCTTTATGATAAAATCAAGAAAATTGTTCAACGTAACCAAACGGGACCAACAACTTACTTGTATCCAATGTATCGATTTTATTTTCCTATTCTTGCCAACAAGATGAAGCATATTACGGAATCAATATTTTCGCTTAGAGAGATTCCATCATTACAGGTTTGTTATTTACTATTACATAAAGAGTCGTTCTTCTTTCGCCGTTAGATACAAAGGTATAGAATAGAAACATTTATTTTTGGCGAGGTTTATACTACATATAAATTAAGTGATTTTTCCATTCGACAATATTTAAGCCTCACATAATTTATGTTCCATTGAGTTTGTCACATCAGATAAGATTTATTTTTATGCCTTTTCATTCCCACATATAATTTTTTTTCCTCATTCGCTCTCCTTTCTCCTTTATCTTTTTCTTACGCGGCATAAATAGAGAAGGCATGCATGTACACAAATATTCTCTGTGTGTATATAACTTGTGCTTATTTGTATTAGATCTGGGGGATATTGGATAGAATTGCTCATAAATTGTGTCACCAACAGCATTTGGTGTATAGGAAATTCATGAACATTTTCGATTCCAATACATTATGAAGATAATCACATATGATGATGCCCGTCACCATAGGATTCCTTTTTTGCCTTTCTCCTGTGCGTATTTTGCAATGCATTTTCTATAATAAAAGATGTGAAATGTTCCGTATTATGTCCGTTCATTCGGTTGATAACATATAAGCTACAGTTTACTCTAGCGAAAGGGGTTCATAAATCAAGTTCATAGTGGAAATAATCCTTTATAATCGTGTATATATTCAGAAACGCCCAGAAACTAACAATTCACGGTTTTTAAGTAGGAAGTTGCTTTCGAAATGCGTTATCAACCCTCACTTGACACACATTTCATGCGAATATTGACTTTTAACCGAAATAAAAAAATATGTTTATCCCAACAGATATTCAAGGAACTGATGGAAAAATTTAATCAACTGTTACATGGAATTTATTATCTGCGTGATTTCATTCCACTGAACTTATTTATGTTGGATAATCGTATCGTAAATCGGGTTCTTGAGAAGCTCGTACGTGATTTGAAGAATTTTGTCACAAACTATTTTACGACATTGAATCAAGTGGAAAATCGTCGAATGTGTGATGAATTTGAAGAAATGTCAATTACGTCTGGCGAACGTCCGAGTGAAACGCCTGAAGTTGTAGCATTACAAAATTATCTTGTGGTTTGTCGTGAGGAGAAGCTGTTCCGTTTAAAAAGTATGTTTTTTGATAACGTCTTTATCCCCCCACAAAAATGGTTGTGTATACATACTTACATACATTTTTCACTTTTGTTTCATTTCATGTTATATAAAGATGAAATACAACACGTTAAAGAGCGTGTCATGTTTCTGCTGACTTATGCATCTCTAACACGTAAGTTTTTCCCTCTTACTTCCTTTTTTAAAAAAAATAATACATGTTTCATTCTCGACGTTAACAAATTTTTTTTTTCTGTTCTGCTCTGCTCTGCTCGTTCAAATGAATCCATAGAGGAAGATATAAATCTTAATTCACGGTTATTTTTGTGGCCAAGTGAATTGGAAAAAGTATTGGATTTGTCTGGAGCCCGTTTGGCGGTTGTAAGAGAAAACTTGGAAACAGCACTGAAAGAACGTCGTGGGCAATTTGAGCAGTATATGCTGATGGAGAAAAAGAAAATGGATTCATTTCGTTTACGTGATGTTCGCGAAGTACTTTCACTGGATGACTTGAAGGAAAAGGTTACGACTGTCGATGCATTGATGGATACACTTGAGGTATGTTGTTTTAAAAATATACAGTTATTGATATTGAGTAAGGTTAGAGCAAGCATAGAAGTTTTGTGTTGTCAACTAGTACTGTTAACCTAGTGATCTGAGTCAGTATAAGTCACTCGAGTTGCACAATGTTGCAAATCTCATTTATTGTCATCAAATGGGTTGAAAACAGCCATCAGCTAGTCCAACACCATAACGCTGTGTCTATACATCTGCTTGACTTTTTATACAACCTATGAGATGCCATTTAAGCTTTTAGTCCTCAGGCTGAGATTAGAAATAAAGATTCAGACTGACTCTCCGAACGAGGTCCGAGTTAAGGTCTTAAATAAAAGAAAATATTTTTGATAAGCTCAAACAAGCATTCAGATAGCACCACAGCTTGTTGACAATCTAACCATGAGCAGCTTTAAGCATGCCAAATAATATCAAATAACTTTCATTTTGTCAATTTCAGAAATGCAACAGAGAAGCAAAGGCAATTAACATTGACGAGAATCTCCTACAAATTGATCAATCATTCTTTCCAATGTTGGGTGAAATGATTGAAAAAATGAAACCTGTCGAAGAGTTATGGCACACAGCCTATCATTTTGAATCATGCTATGAGGTTTGGTATTATGGGAAATATGTTGGTCTCAATTCCGATAATATTCGTGTTGAAGTCGATGAAATGACAAAGACAATTTACAAACTCACGAAGGCATTAACAACAAATCCGTTTGCCAAACGTATTGCAGAGCAGATTCGTTTGAAAATTGACAAATTTCGTGTTTATATTCCGATTTTGGAATCGATTTGTCGTCAAGGTTTAGTCGATAGACATTGGGAAATGATTTCTCAAGAGCTTGGCGAAAATGTTAATCCAAAAGCATATCCATCTTTAAGTACTATGGTTGATCTCGACATTGTAAAAATTCAAGATAAACTTGAAGAAATTTCCAATGCTGCAGGCAAAGAATATGACCTAAATTTGCAACTTATAAATATGCAAGACGAATGGAAGGATATGACATTTGATGTGACCAGATATCGTGACTCTGAAGTTTACATCTTGGCAAGTCTTGACGATGTTCAAGCATTACTCGATGACCACATTTTAAAAGCACAAGCTATGCGTGGTTCCCCTTACATTGTCGCGCTCGGAAAACGTGCTGAAGACTGGGAACAAAAATTAATTTCAATGCAAGACATTCTCGACGTTTGGTTGCGTGTTCAATCAACATGGATGTATTTAGAGCCAATTTTTGGTTCCGAGGATATTTTACGTCAAATGCCAACAGAGGGTAGAAACTTTAAGAAAGTCGATAGAATGTTTAGAAAGATTATGGAGCATACAGTTTACGATTCACATGTGATACAAACAACAGATTATCCTGATATGCTACAGCAACTCCGATCTGGCTTTGAAGAGCTCGAAGGAATTCAAAAAGGCTTGAATATGTATTTGGAAAAGAAGCGATTATTTTTTGCAAGATTCTTTTTCTTGTCGAATGATGAGCTCCTTGAAATTCTGGCAGAAACAAAAGATCCATCACGTGTTCAGCCACACCTTAAAAAATGTTTTGAGGGGGTAAATTCAACTGTCAATAATGATAACATCAGATTTTTAAAGCTTTATTATTTTCTTTCTTTCTTTTTTTTTTTGTCTACAGATTAATGCACTCACTTTTGACAACAATGGTGATATTATAGCCATTATATCAGCCGAAGGTGAAGTAGTTAACCTCACAAGAAAAATCAATCCTGCTTCAGCAAATGTAAGCATGTAGTGGAACCAATTTAAATTAAATTAATTTTATTCTCATATTTTTTAAGGGTCTTGTCGAGAAATGGCTAAAGGATGTTGAGTCCATAATGATTGAAAGTATTAAGGAATTGGTATTTAAAGCATGTGAAACATACTTTTTGGATCTACGTAATGAGTGGGTATTGAAATGGCCAGGACAAGTTGTGTCTTGTGTAACATGCATGAGTTGGACACAAGAAGCAGAACTAGCAATTAAGGATGATACGAAGGAAGATTTCCTTCATAAATGCAACGACCAAATTCTCGATCTTGTCAGTTTAATCCGTGGAGAATTAGAAAGAGGCGAGCAATATACAATTGAAGCACTTATCGTTTTAGACGTGCATGCACGCGATATTGTCAGTCTATTAATAACCGAAAATGTACAAGACAATAATGAGTTCAATTGGATATCACAATTGCGTTATTACTGGCGCACAAGTCCTGAAAAGCAAGGTTATGTCTCCGTGTGTATGGTAACAACTGACGTTGAATATGGAATGGAATATTTGGGAAACACATCAAGATTAGTAATTACACCGTTAACTGATCGTTGTTTTAGAACATTGATGGGAGCCATAAAACTGAATCTAGGTGGTGCCCCCGAAGGTAAGTTTCTCGTGTGAGTTAATTAAGTAATTAAATTTTATTAACTAGCATCTATTTTTGTCTATTAATTGTACAACATAGGACCCGCTGGCACAGGAAAAACAGGTAATTAATAACAAACTTTTACGATATGGTCGGTACTTTAATAAAAAAATCGATTTTTAATTATAGAAACATGCAAGGATCTCGCAAAGGCTGTCGCGAAAAAATGTGTCGTATTTAATTGTAGTGATGGCTTGGACTATAAAGCACTTGGGAAGTTCTTTAAAGGATTGGCACAATCTGGATCGTGGGCATGTTTTGATGAGTTTAACAGAATCGAGCTTGAAGTCTTGTCAGTTGTTGCACAACAGATTTTGACTATACAGCGTGCAATTCAAAAGGAAGCTGCAAAATTTGTGTTTGAAGACACAACACTCAAATTAGATCCGACATGTAACATTTTCATTACAATGAATCCTGGTTACGCTGGTAGAACTGAACTGCCAGATAATTTGAAAGTTCTATTCCGAACATGTGCTATGATGGTTCCTGATTACGCGATGATTGGTGAAATAACGCTATACTCCAATGGATTTGATAATGCGAGAATATTAGCACAGAAAATTGTCTACACATACAAGCTATGTTCAGAGCAATTATCGTCTCAGCATCACTATGACTATGGCATGCGTGCGGTTAAATCTGTTTTACTTGCATCAGCTGCATTACGACGCGAACATCCTCACTTGCCAGAGGAACAAATTGTTTTACGAGCAATTATTGATGTTAATTTACCAAAATTCCTCCAACAAGACATCCCATTATTTGAAGGCATTTATAAAGATCTTTTCCCTGGTGTTATGATTCCTGAGCCAGCACGCGACGACCTTAATAGATTCCTACAAATTAAGATTGAGGAGAAACGTTTACAAAACACGCCCTGGTTTGTCGAGAAGGTCTTACAAATCTACGAAATGATTCTCGTCCGGCACGGTCTCATGGTAGGCTGAACACATCCATTTACTCTTAAAATCGCTTCCCATTTGCATTATGTTATTTCTTTATTTTTTTGCTGTTGCTCATTCTCTCTCACTTTGTGTCTGTGTCTATTTTCATTAAATTTATTTTATTAGGTGGTCGGTGATTCAATGGGTGGAAAAACCACAGCATATCAATTACTGGCAGAAGTATTAAAGGAGGTACGGAATGACACGAAAGCACAATTGAAGGAATTTGCAGTAAATTATCGCATCATCAATCCCAAAGCAATTTCAATGGCACAGCTGTATGGTAGCTTCGATCCCGTCACGCACGAATGGTCAGATGGTGTTATTGCAACAACATTTCGTGATATGGTTTATTCAAATACAAACGAGAGACAATGGATTGTTTTTGATGGACCTGTTGATGCTGTATGGATAGAGAATTTAAATACTGTACTAGATGACAACAAGAAGCTCTGTCTTATGTCCGGAGAAATTATTCAAATGACAAGTAATATGAATCTGTTGTTCGAGCCAGTCGATCTTGAGCAAGCATCACCGGCGACAGTGTCACGTTGTGGAATGATTTATATGGAACCAGCACAACTGGGATGGGAAGCTTTACATAAGACCTTCATGTTACAGTTACAAGATAAAGGACTGACGATAAACTACACAATTCTTTATGATAGTCTTGTCGAATGGCTTATACCGATAACGATAGAGACACTGAAATCATGTCAGCATGTCATTCCACTTTCATCAATGCACATGTACCGAATGTTGTCGACATTTTTCATGAATTTTCTATCAAAGCATCACAACTATAATCAAATGTGGTTCCAACAAACTTTCCTTTTCTGCTATGCATGGGCGTACGGTTCACATCTTACAATTGAGGGACGCAAGTACATGGAAGCAGTTTTAAGGAAAATTCTTTACGGAGGAAATGAAAATTTACCAAAACCCAAAAGCTTCTCATTAAATCGTGGTCAAATGTTTCCGGAAAAATTATCTTATATGGACTATCGATTTGATGAAAATGAAACGTGGTGGCCCTGGCTTAAATCGGAAGAATATCAATTTCCACCAGATGCGTCTGTATCTGAAATTATGGTACCGACAAAAGAGAACACTTGTATTTCATATTGGGCTAATCATTGTGTACAGCATGAAATTCCATTGCTTCTTGTTGGACCAACTGGAACCGGAAAATCTGTAACAATATTAAATTTCCTTAAAGACCTACCAAAGGAAAAGTATATAATGAATGCAATGAATTTCTCGGCGAGAACATCAGCACATCAAGTACAAGATCAAATCATGTCGAAATTAGATAGACGTCGTAAAGGTGTTTTCGGACCGCCCGCATTAAAACACTGCATCAACTTCATTGATGATTTAGCAATGCCTGCACGTGATGCTTATGGATCACAAGGGCCTCTTGAACTCATTCGACAATTGTTAGATCATGGACATTGGTCTGATTTAATTGATACAAGCAATATTGAACTTATCGATTTACTCTTTATGGGTGCAATGGGTTTGCCTGGTGGCAGTAATTACACACCGAAACGACTTTATCGACACATGTTCTGTTTGGCTGTCGACTCATTTGAAGAGAGTACATTATTAAGGATATTCACATCGATAGGTGAATGGCATTTTGCTAAAGGATATGTAGAGACCGTATCAAGATTGGCAAGAAATTTGGCTGCAGCAATTATAGATGTTTATAAAGGAGCAACGAAAATTTATTTACCAACACCAACAAAAAGTCATTACATTTTCTCATTACGTGACGTAACAAGAGTTTATCAGGGTATTGTAATGGTTCCATCTAAGAAATTGGCAGATCAAGAGAAGCTGGGACGATTGTGGACACATGAAATTTATCGTGTATTTTATGATCGCTTAGTTGACGCAAAAGACCGTGAAAAACTTTTATCGCTGGTCGACGCATCATGTAACAATAATTTACGCTTCAAATTGGAACAAGCATTTGGTAATCGTGTATTAACCGGCGAGAAAGTCAGTGAGAAGCACATCAGAGATTTACTATTTGGAAATTATATGGAACCAGATGCAGATCCAAAGATATATGACGAAGTAGAAAATTGGCCTAAACTCGAGAAAAACATGACATATTATCTCAATGAATATAATACACTCTCCAATTCCCCCATGGATCTTGTACTATTTCGTTTTGCAATTGAACATATATCTCGTGTAAGTCGAGTATTACAAATGCAACGCGGACACATAATGCTTGTGGGCTTGGGAGGTTCCGGTCGTAAATCTGCAGTAAAATTAGCAGCAAGTATATGTGATGCTCATCTATTTGAAATAGAAGTAACGAAAACATATGGAGTAAATGAATGGCGAGAAGACATGAAAAAAATGCTGACACAAGCTGGAATCGATTCAAAACCAATAGTTTTCCTATTTGGTGATTCACAAGCCAAAGAGGAGGCCTTCATTGAGGATATAAATTCCTTGTTGAATACTGGTGATTTGCCCAATTTATTCCAATCAGAAGAGAAAGCAACAATTTTGGAAAAAATGCAAGCAGTTGCAAAAGCCTCGGGAAGAGTGATTGAAACAACACCTCTTGCCATGTACGGAATGTTTATTGAACGTGTCCGGGAATCACTTCATGTTGCATTGGCATTCTCTCCAATTGGAGATTCATTTAAAAAGAGAATTCGAATTTTTCCATCACTTGTTAATTGCTGTACAATTAACTGGTATACAACGTGGCCTGAAGATGCATTACAAAAAGTTGCAGAATATTTTGTTAAATCTATGAACCTGCCAGGAAGTGAAGATACACTTTCAATATCATCCATCGGTACGACAGCGAGTGATGAAGATGGTAAGACTAAGGAACGCAAATTGGGAATATTAGAAACAAAACTCGTTGAGATGGTGATGATATTTAATACAAGTGTCGTGGAAGCAAGTGACAAATTTTATCGTGAATTTAGCCGCAAGAATTATGTAACACCCACGTCATATCTCGAGATGCTAAGATCCTTTAAGATTTTATATAAGCAAACATTTCACAACATTACAATGCAGAGAGATCGATACACGACTGGATTAGAAAAGCTTGAATTTGCAGCAAGTCAAGTGACAGTCATGCAGAAAAAACTTCAAGATCTCCAACCGCAATTAAAAGAGACTTCAGATGAGACTGAGAAAATTATGGTAAAAATAGAACGTGATACAGCAGAAGCTGAAAAGAAAAAGGAAGTGGTTGGTGCTGATGAATCTGCTGCAAATGAAGCTGCTGCTGCTGCACAAGCAATTCGTGATGATTGTGAAAGTGATTTAGCAGAAGCGGTTCCAGCATTAGAGAGTGCTTTGTTGGCATTGGATACATTAAAGCCTCCAGACATAACTGTTGTAAAATCAATGAAAAATCCACCAGCAGCGATTAAATTGGTTTTAGAAGCTGTATGTGTTTTAAAGGGATTAAAGCCTGACAGGAAACCTGATGCAATGGGTCGATTGATTGATGATTATTGGGCAGCATCACAAAAAATGCTCGGCGATATGAAGTTCTTGGAAAGCCTTCGACAATTCGATAAAGACAACATCCCCATACCAATAATGAAAAAAATTCGCGAAGTTTACATTTCCGATCGAGATTTTGTACCGGAAAAAATCAAAACTGTATCAACAGCATGTGAAGGATTATGTCGATGGATTAGAGCTATGGATGTTTACGATAGAGTCATCAAAATTGTTGCGCCTAAAAAAATTGCACTCGGTTCAGCTGAAAGTGATTTATCAGCTCAAATGGAGAAATTAAATGCCAAAAAGGCTGAATTGCAGGAAATTCTCGATAAGCTTCAAACATTAAATGACAGCTTTGCAGAGAAGTCAAGGGAAAAGAAACGCCTTGAGGATGAAATAGATAATTGCGAGAAGAAATTGGTGAGAGCAGAACAACTAATTGGTGGTCTTGCTGGTGAGAAGCAAAGATGGTCCGAAAATGCAGCTAATTTACACAAAAGTCTCGGTAATGTTGTTGGCGATGTTCTTCTTGGTTCTGGATGCATTGCATATTTAGGATATTTTTCAACCGAATTCAGAAGTAAAATTTTACGTGAATGGAATCGATTATGTTTGGAAAAACGACTGCCATGTACAGAAAAATTCTCTCTTGTCAACATTCTCGGAAATCCCATGGAAATTCGACAATGGTCGATTTGTGGATTACCATCTGATACATTTTCAATTGAAAACGGAATTATTGTTGCAAACTCACGACGATGGTGTTTGATGATTGATCCCCAAGGGCAGGTGAGTAAACTTATATCAGTATTTTTCATTCCATTAAATGACTATTTTCTAGGCTAACAAATGGCTCAAAAGTTTGGAAAAGGGAAATGACCTGAAAGTCATTCAACAAACTGATGCTAATTACACCAAAGTTCTCGCATCTGCCATCACAAATGGCAAGCCAGTTCTCCTTGAAAACATTGGCGAGACGATTGATTCTGGCTTTAATTCAATTTTAGAGAAAAATGTTTTCAATCAAAAAGGACGACAGATGATGAAATTCGGAGATGGTCTAATCGAGTACAATGATAACTTCCGATTTTACATCACCACATGCATGAAAAATCCTCATTATTTACCTGAAACAGCTGTTATGGTCACACTATTAAACTTTATGATAACTGAGCAAGGACTTCGTGAACAATTACTGGCAACTGTTGTCATCCAAGAACGTCCAGATCTTCAACAAAAAAAGGAATCTTTAATAGTTGAATCCGCAAAGAATCGTAATGCACTCTATAATGCAGAAACCAAGATTCTTCAAGTTCTCTCATCATCCGAGCAAAACATATTGGAAGATGAGAATGCTATAAATATTCTAACATCAAGCAAAGCGCTCTCAGAAGATATTCAGGCAAAACAAATCATCGCAATATCAACAGAAGTTGAAATCGATACAGCACGACAAGAATACATTCCCGTTGCGAAACATTCAGCAATTTTATTCTTTTGCATAACTGAATTATCAAATATCGAGCCAATGTATCAATATTCATTGACATGGTTCTTGAATCTTTTTATAACAAGCATCATAAAAGCCCCGGCATCGGAGAATTTGGAAGAGCGATTGGTGCATTTAAATGAATTTTTCACACGCTCAATATACGAAAATGTCTGTAGATCACTTTTTGAGAAAGATAAATTAGTATTTTCACTTTCACTTTGTATTGGAATTTTAACTGCACGCGGTGACGTTGATTTATCACATTTGACATATTTCTTAACGGGTGGAGTCGCACTTGATAATTCCCATCCAAATCCCGCACCAGAATGGATATCAGAAAAATCATGGAACGACATTGTACGTGCTGGAGCATTAAATGAACTTAAAGCGCTGCATTCACATGTCACAGCAAATTCTGAAAAATGGAAGGAATTTTATGATTTAGCAAATCCTGAGGAAGAGAAATTTCCTGAACCATTTGATAATGTCACAGATTTTATTGCATTAATTCTCTTGAAGGCACTGAGACCTGATAAAATTGTCAATGCTGTTAAAAACTTTATTGTCCGACATATGGGAAAGGAATTTGTTGAGCCACCATCATTTAATTTACAAGCATCATACAATGATAGTAGTCGTACCATTCCATTAGTTTTCATTCTATCGCCTGGATCTGATCCAATGGATAATTTATTGATGTTTGCTAAAGAGTATGGCATGGTAGATAAGTAAGTCTAACGGATAACATAAATCTAATATTATGAATTATTATAAGCACATTTCCTCGTACCGTCTACTTTCTGTTAATATAGATGTAAATCAATCTCACTTGGTCAAGGTCAGGGATCACGTGCTGAAAAATTAATAGAAGATAGTGCACGTTTAGGTCACTGGGTAATTTTACAAAATTGTCATGTAGCAGAGTCATGGATGAGTGATCTAGAACGCATATGTATGGATTCACGTAAGGATGCTTTATAATCTAATAAATTTATCATGACTTACTATCCTATATATTATGAATAAACACTATAGAGAACCTCGAAGCAACAGCACATTCAAATTTCCGTCTATGGATCACATCATATCCAGTTAAAACATTCCCCGTTGCTGTACTACAAAATTCAGTAAAAATGACAAATGAAGCGCCAAAGGGTTTACGGCTTAACATGCTTAGATCTTTCAATTCAGATCCATTATGTGATGATGAATTTTATTCATACTCTTCGAAGCATGACGATAAAAAAGTTTGGTATCGTGGAATATTTTCTCTCGTGTTCTTCCATGCAGTCATACAGGAAAGAAGAAATTATGGACCTTTAGGCTTTAACATTCCATATGAATTTAATGAATCGGATTTAAAGTAAGAAAGTTATTTTCATTATAGTAATAAATAATCAATATATACTCAAACACATTCCAGAATTTCTTTGATGCAATTAAAGATGTTCATCCAACAATATGGTCAAATTCCATTCGAAGGACACAAATATTTGACTGGCGAATGCAATTACGGTATGTGATAATTAAGAAATTATTTTGTTATAATTAAAAATTCTTTCCAATCTACTAGGTGGTCGTGTGACTGATGACAAGGATCGTCGATTGCTCATGTCATTGCTCGATAAATTTTATAATGAAGATGCCATTTCGGTTGACAAGTATGGAAGTTATTTTTGATAGAAATATTTTCAATTAAGGCATTACCTGTTATTTTCTTTTCAGTTATGAACTTGCTGACTCGGAGCTGTATCAAATACCTATGATGCCTGACAGGAACAACAGTATTGAATACATTATGTCATTGCCATTAATACCAAACCCAGAAGTTTTTGGGCTACATGCTAATGCGGACATAACGAAAAACTTTAATGAAACACAATGTGTAAGTGACAAGCTTTTAATTATTTTTGGTCCTTTATCATTTTTATTCCATGTTTTCATGTTTCTGTAGCTTTTACAAGGAGTTTACATGACACAAACACAATTGATATCGTCATCACTTAAAGTTAGTGAAGATGGACAAGACAGCGATATAGATCCGGTTCTTACTTTATGTCTTGACATTGAAAAACGTTTGCCTGAAGCATTCGATGAAGCTGCTGCTATCGAAAAATATCCTATCGAATATACAAATTCCATGAATACCGTTCTCTGTCAAGAATTGAGTCGTTTCAATAATTTGCTTGCTTACATAAAAGTATCATTAAATGATATCCGGCGTGCGATATCAGGACAAATTGCAATGATTCCGGAATTGGAAAAGGTTCACAAGTCAATGTCACAGGGAAAATTGCCTGCAGCATGGGCACAAAAAAGCTATCCATCACTGAAGCCACTCGGATCGTACATTAATGATTTCCTTTTAAGACTGTCATTCTTTCAACGTTGGCTTGATGAAGGCGAACCGAATGTGTACTGGATGAGTGGCTACTTCTTTACACAATCATTCCTGACTGGCGTTCTTCAAAATCATTCAAGAAAGAATAATCTACAAATTGATTTACTTCATATGAAATTTGATGTCACTGACTATGAGATGGAAGTGGAACATAGTATGGAGATGGGAGTTTATATAAAGGTAAGGGATTTATATCTTAAATTTCAATGAAATGACCTGAATTATAAATCATTTCCTTGAGAATCTCTCTCATGTGTTTAAACATTTTATACATGCTTGCGATAGGATTTAAGGGAATGCAACGAAGATGTTGTTGCTTTTTCTGTAAGTTGGGTATTTTGTTACTTCCAATGCACTCATGTCAAATGCACACAAATACATAATCTTATTTGATATTTTGAGCCATAACTATTATTTATATTTAGGGATTATTTTTGGAAGGTGCAAGATGGAACCGAGAATGTCACATTCTTGATGAATCCTTCCCGAAGATTTTATTCGATGCACTTCCTGTTATAACCATGACACCAACAATAAAGTCACAGGAACTGCTTGATGAGGAACGGAAGAAATATGATTGTCCAATTTATAAAACGACAGAGCGTCGAGGAGTCTTAGCAACGACAGGACATTCATCCAATTTTGTAATGTTCATTCAACTAAGCACAGACAAAGCTCCAAATCATTGGATCAATCGTGGTACTGCTTCTATTTTGAGCTTGAATGACTAAAAAAGCATGAAAGGAAAAGCTCCTCCTCGTCTATTAGTAGAAAGACATATGAAGACATACGAACTGATTTTTTTGTAGAGCTTGCAATTTTTCTTTAGAGTGGAATGAATTTTCTTGTGACTGATTTTTTTTTTTGGAAATAAATTTAAAATTTTGTTTTTGTGAGTGTGAATCTATGTTTAAGTTCTTTTTAAGCTTCTTGCTAAATGGATATAATTTTGAAATTATTCGGAAATTTTGAAGGCACAAAAATGCCTTAAATAATTAATTCATTCAATATTGAGCTTCAAAATCATACTTCCAGGAATAGAAATTTTGTTTCCTTTGCTAAAAAGTAAGCTGTTGTGAATGAAATTTCAAAGATATTTCTCATAAATTCATACCGACTGTAATTGAATGAAGTATTTTGTTGCCTGAACAGCAGCTTTAAGATTGGCATTGTCAACTGCTACTTTTCAAATTAAATGTATTTACAAGTAGTCATGAATGGATTTAATGTAAAAATAGATTTTCAAATACGGATTATAATTTTTCTAAGGATATTGACATAAAAATCTTTGACGCTTTCTACAAGGTAAATAAGCTTGGGGAATGGATGTTAAAATCCAATCATATTTGATTTATAGCGCATTAAATATTATTTTAATATTACAGTATTGTTAATCCAGGTTCATATGTCTGGATATGTTTCTAATCTTGAACAGATATGCTTTTTACTGTAACCACAAACTATGTGAAGCTTAATTTCCAACAAAAGGCTTTCTATTTGATTGGGTCAACTAGTTTGTGCAATTTTTCTGTGCACACTAATTTGGTTTCTATTTCGAACAAGCTGAAAGGGTAGCAATTAAAAAATATGCTTCTAACAAGTTCTACAACCTCTCATCTTCCTTTAAGAGCTTAATGCTCTTAAGAATCATTCAGATGTTACATACCTTTGAATATTGAAAAGATGAACAATAGGAAAGGCCTAGCCTTTTTAAGCTAGAAACACTGCGATTCAATTATATCAGAATCTTCTGTACCACAACCTCTTTAGACCTGCTGTTTACAGTTGGATATGAGAGAATTTACATTGTACCTAATGAATTGAAAGAAATTAGAATGAGCATTTAATTAAATATAAATAAATTTTTCTCATCTACACCCCTCCAACCCTTTTTCCTCTTCTTTTTTGGATATGTTTTGAAGGACTTTCTTTGTTAATTCCAAGAACTTATCAAAAATGATCAAGAACTGATTAAAATTGATTAAAATCTAATTTATCAGTTCCACACCCTTAATTAATTCTGAATTATCCTATACTCATCAAAATTAGGTTTAAAAATAATTTTAATAGCTTTGATTGCCTCCATTAAATCTAATTTGATTTATCACTTAAATTCACAGGGTACAAATTAATATTAAAATTTATTAATAAACCTTGCAGTTTTACGTGAAAAAAATATTACGAAAAGATTTAGCAGATATCAGGATGTAAAACGAAAATCATGAAAGCACAGCATTACCTTTGATGTCTTCTCATTACAAAAAATTTTTCAATGGAATGAGAAATTGGAGCATAATTTTGATTAAAATTTAATCGTTATCGACGCACATTGCCAATATTTTTGATTGAAATTTTGTATTTCATCTCATAAATTTTTTGATTTGTTTAATGTGGTATCGCAGCCTGCTTTACATTACATTTCATTTGGATAAAAATCTGATTTTTCCAGCATTTGCGGTTGTCTAGGCTTCAAGGGGCACAAATATGACGCATCAAACTTAGCTTTAATCTGACTCACATTTCCCAAAAGAATTTATTACAAATAATTTTCGTCACCAATCTTATCTTAAAGTTACACAAACACATGTCAACCTATAACTTTTATCTTATCTCGCGCATTTAATAAATAACAAAACTCATACACCTGTAAGTTGGTGCCAAAATAGATAAGATAACAACATGAAACTTTCCACATTCTATATTCACATCAACTTCCAACATTTATTCGTGTTTATTCCAAAAAACAGTTCACATTCATACTTGGCGCTCTGCTTTGTGATAAAAATTTAAGGTGTGACATGATTCATTTTTAAATTTACTCAGTTAAATTACAAAAAAAAAAACTTTTTCTAGATTTAAAGGATCCTACATTCAGAATAAAAAGAGGAATTGTTTGAATTTTGTTTGAGTGCAAAAGCCAATAAAAGAAGAAGATGAAACTTTGGAAGAATAAAGCATTTTATTTCGCAATCTTATTGGGTAAGTTTTGAAGGAGACGACATTTCGTAGAAATCTCAAGCTTTAAACACGAGTTGATGGAACATCTTAACATTTTGTGTTCTTAGAAAAGATATTTTTAATGAGTTTTCCTGATAAATTCAATTACTGCATGTATATTGATTAAATTAATATGCTTACACAAGTTTAGGCGTGGGCATTGTTTCCTAGTATTCACTTCTTCACGTTTAATTACTTCTAGTAAAGATTTAAAAAATTATTCTTTTGGACAGAATGAAATTAAGCAATAGGAAATAAGACAGTGTCTACTTTAAGTAGTCATTGCCACCTTCAGAATAAATGTTAAAAGAAAGTGAAATAGAAGAAAGTTTTTGAAATTCTTGCAAATAAAATGAATATGATTGTGTTAGTGAAGTGATTTGAAAAACATTAGACAATTTATCAAAAGACATTTTTAATGTCATATTTTTAAAGCTGAAAATATATTACAATGAAACTTGAAACGGTGTGAATATAACGAAAACTAAATGGCTCAAATTCTAATGTAAAAGTGATTTTTTAAAAGCGATATCTTCAGAAAGACAAGATTTGTTCTTTTATAACAGTGTTTCTTAAACTAAATTCAGCGATTTAAGTGAGACATTGCAAATGAGTGCATTTAAGAATTTTACAAGGCGTGGAAACTCAAGATTAATCCTGAAAAATTGCAAAAATCCTAAAAAAATTCCTAAGTCAATCCCTAAGCATGGTAATGTGAAATCCCTTTTAAATCCCTGATGCATTTGAAAAATAATTTCGGGATTTAAAAGCGATTTCAAATTTTCATGTTTATTGGCTCAGGGATTTTTTGAAAGGATTTTTCAGGATTAATCCTGAGTTTACACGCCTTGAAGTTTTATAATGTTTAGTTTAAATTCTTTATTTTATATAAAGATTTAGAACTATTGTCTTAAAAGCTCTTAAATTTACAAATTCTGGATATGATACATTTATTAATAAGATTTAAGAACAATCATAGGAATGAAATTGCTTCAGAATAATTGACAAAAATAATTGGAAAATAAAACCATTAAATACCTTAAAAATATTTTTTGGCAATTTCAATTTATAGTTCAAGACGACAAAAATGTCATTAATTGTACAAACTTTTAACAAATTTTTTATGTTGAGAGGAAAGTTTTGAGCAACGATCTCCTTGAAAAATAAGTTTTATATGAAAGATTGTGTCAGATAAAAACCTGAATAATGCTTATGAACTAAATGTTAGGAAGAGAGATCCGAAATCATCGAATTTGTGGATGTAAACGTCATATTAACCTACTGTCAATTAATTAAACTGAAATAAAATTTCACAGAGAGTCAACAATAGTTTGAAAAAGTCATTCTTTAATATTTTATAAATTAAAATATTCAAATCATTTAATATACCTTCAATTTTTACGCAGAACTATATCACTACACACATACATATTGAAAAGTATATTTATAGATAAGAGAATGATAAGTTTTTAATAATAAACCATTATCGACCTAGCATAAACATTTAAACTGTATTCTATTGTCATGCTTAATTTTGTTTGATGACTAATGTTCGTGGTGCTTATAAGAATTTTTTATAATAATTAAAATAGTTTCTCAAGAAAATTAACACAAAAATGAACAATAAACATCTCGACTTAACTAATAAGACGCAAACATTTTATTCTCGTCTGAAAAGCTTTTATTTATTTATTTTTAAACACACGCTTGTTAATAAATAGAATTCCAAGAATTGCGAAATATTTCTGACATTTATTTTATCTGAAATTAAAAATAAATTGGAATTTAAAAAATTCATTTTTAAATCAAGAATCACTTTTGAATTTTCATTCTTCATCAAAAGAGAAACAATAATAATTATTTTCAATATTCTAAATTTAGTTCTGCTCAGCTTGTGTGCTGAAGAGACAGAAGCAAGAAGAAAAGTTTTGCGAGGTCGTCGAACAATCACACGATCACAGCGTAAGTAATAACATTGGTTTAATCGTCAAATAACTGCACATAAATATTTTTATTCTTAGGTGCACTTCCGATTCCAGCATGGGCAATCATTTTAATTGTAGCATTGTGTAATCTACTTATTGGTGGAATTCTATATGTTATAATGAAGAAAGTTATTGTTGATGTTCCTACAGAAAATGTAAACAGCTACACGCGGACGAGTATGGAAGAAGAAGCATAAACATGTTGCTATATTCCTAACAAAATTGTCATTCTATTTTAAGTTTAAGGATTTCTACTGCTGCTATATATAATTCATTAAAATTACGATATAATCCATGAATAAATTTAATTTAATCTTAAGATAGTAAACATTTATGTTTCATATGATGGGGATTAGGATGTACTTATGAAGACAAGCTATTGAGTTATTTATAACATTTCCAAGGTTTTGAAACTTTGAAATCTGAAACAAAGTTGATTTATTGCTGATTTTAATTAGTTTCTCATTAAAATTAATTGGATGCGTTCGCAAATGAAGTCCATTAAAAATGTTATATTCAAATCCCACTTACCTACTTGGAACCAAAGTTTTTTATCATTACAGAGCACTTTTAACATTAAATAATGGACATCATTAATGAACAGTCCCAAAGCAATATTAATCAATTTTTCAAAAATCAACTCCACACTAATTGAAACTCACAACATAAGCTGTCATTCCATCACAAACTTTTGCTATTTAAATATTAACATAATTTGCAATTTTTATCGTTGGTTGTTATTATTTTATATACGGCATATCCACTCATCAATATTATCCAATAGGATAAACTTTATATCATAAAATATTGCAGCGATAAAAGTTTTTTAATTTTTCTACTCCTCTTCGGCCAATTCTGTATCATATTTTTTTTTCAGCATTCAAGGTATGATTTTATTATGTTTATTTCTGTTGC